TTAGGGTATTTAAAACATACCCAAAATTTTGGATTGCACTATTCGAGATATCCAGCAGTACTTGAAGGATACTGTGATGCAAATTGGATATCAGATACTAAAGACTCCAAATCAACAAGTGGATAGGTCTTTACACTTGGAGGTGCTCCAATATCATGGAAATCTTTAAAACAGACATGTATAGCTAGATCAACAATGGAATCTAAATTCATTGCATTAGACAAAGCCGGAGAAGAAGCCGAATGGCTACGAAACTTTCTAGAAGATATTCCATGTTGGATAAAACCTGTGCTTGCTATATGTATCCATTGCGATAGTCAATCAGCAATTGGAAGGGCACAAAATGCAATGTACAACGGTAAATCTCGACATATACGTCGTAGACACAATACTGTTAGACAGTTGCTCTCTACAGGCATTATCTCTATAGAGTATGTGAAATCAAAAGAGAATATTGCGGATCCGCTAACTAAAAGTTTAACAAGAGAGCAAGTCGAAAGTTCATCGAAGGGGATGGGATTAAAACTAATAAAATAATCAAAAGTTTTCATGGTGGCAACCCAACCTAGTTGACTGGAGATCCCAAGATCTAGGTTCAATGGGACAATCGAACTGTGAAAAACTTAGTATGCACTGGGAAGATTTTACTTCTACCCATTCCTATGATGAGCCAGTGCCCAGCTGCCGCGAAATAGGTTAAGATACGCTTTTAATGATTTTTATATCTTGATTTGTTCAAGTGGAGTATAGCAGAATACTTTTTATGGAAATCACCTATGTGAGTAAGAAGGGGCCGCTTCTAAGAGAATTAGGTGAACATGAATTCTCTAAAAACCACTCATGAACCAGGAGGTGTCCAAGGCCAAAATGGACACAAACGTGAGAACCAACTGTGTTCGAAAAAAACTGTGTGACTTCTATTGTCTGGGTTTCCATAAACGGCTGACTGTTTAAAGCAACTTAATTGGCTAAGGAATTCCGATAGATTTTACTAGGGAAAGTTCAAAGTCATTGACTACTTATCCCGATGCAGTCGTCTACAATTTTTTCTTTGAAAAAATATCAGATGTTATCGTTTGGAATAAAGGCCAACATATTTCATTCATGTGGGGGATTGCTGGAAAAAAATAGTTTAATGGGTCAACTTTGAGCCCAAATTTCAGTGGGACCCACCTTTTAAATAATACGAGACCTAGCATATTCACGTTCTACTCCGCGAGATGATTAACGTGATATATTTATTTATCGAAAACCATTTAAAATTGAATGAAATATTAAGTGTTTAAAGTAACCCACATAAACTAAGGATTATGGAAGAATTTGATTTGCCAAACACTTATCCCACATAGGAAAGTTTGGTGTGGTTTATAAGGTGGAAGTTTGGAATTGGGTTTGGGCCCCAAGGGGTACCAATAGTCTTTGGAAGGGAGAAGACCTACATCCTATTGGGTTCAGTCATAAACCCACACGCGCGTGCCGCCGCCGCCGTCCATCTGACCGGTCGGCTCGGCTTGGCACGGCACGAGCACGTGCCCGAGTCCGAGTCCGAGTCCAAGTCCGGTCCGATTCGGTGCGGGTCCGAGTGGACCTTTACACTATATTAACTTTTTGGAAAAAATTTATTTAAAATTTTGGGCCAAATTGTAAATAATCAAATTCTTGGGTATAAAATGAAATTTAAATTTTGGCTTATTCCGGGTGTTTTATTTTCTTTTAACAGCCGACTGTTTCGACTGTTTACCGACCAAACAGTCGACTGTTAACCGACTTAACAGACACGACTTTTTAGGACATCATGTCTGTTCGAATGGTCACGAACAAGTCTATAAATAGCTAGCCTTTCTACCAGAAAATTCACACCATTTTCATTGCAAACTTTCTGTGCTTTGAATCTCATTTCCCTCTCTCTCGTTTTGATATTGTCTCGAAGTAAAACGCACTTCGTTGAGTTCGTTGGAACTCCTACAGACTGCAGTGCTGCTTCCGTAGGAGACGCAAATTCGTTCTATCCTGGGAAACGATTGCTGGACGCCTTTAGCACCATTGAAGGCAGCAAATTCGTTTTAAGGAAATATCGTGAAGTCGGTGGGCTCGAATTACAATTTTGGATCTGTTGATCAATTCTTGCATTCGGGTAATTCTGTCGGATTGTTTACGAAGGAGTGAATTCAAAACAACAATATATACACACATGTATTTTGATTATGAAAAAGGAAAAAACTTGTTGTCCAAGGTCACATGGGCCCTAGACGGACGGGGCCAAATGGTGAACCTAGACATATAGCATCTCTCTATGAAAAATAATACATTTACAACTAAACACTTTTTAATTTAATAAATGATTTATTTGCCAATAAAATAACGAGCTTGCTAAAAAAAGGTTCAAATATTAATATATTATTGAGGAAGAATCCGAGAATTGAGACCATAGCACAACAATCACTGCTGCGACATTTTAATTTGACATTCGGTTACTAGGAAACTACCTACCTTCTATTTGACTGGTTTCTTTTCAACGTTGGCGTCGATGGATCAGAGAGGGAAACTTCCATTTCTTTTCCTTCATCATCTCCTATAAAACGAGGCCTAATCTTCGACTCATTTATACTTAAATCAGTGTCTGCAATACAGCAAAACAACGTAAAATATTTCTTTCCGACACCATAATGGTTCCCAAGAAGGCAATTCTCGACCTACTCCCATCTTTGTTCATAATATACGATGTTGCCTCCATGGTGACTGCTACCGTCTCCAACGACACGAGTAAGTTATCCTTTCGAGCATCTCAAAATTTGTACATTAACGTAAACTAATTCAGTAGCATATATGGTTCATGCAGCTCAAGCAACAGCAGAGACAAATAAAGTGAATACAAATACAAGCAAGATTCCCAATTTTGTGCGGCCTTTTCCCCGAACTCCAATTCCGAATCCCGCTACAAAACCACCTATAAAAGTTATTGGACGTTGCCGTCCTTGCTGCAGGAAGTTTTTGAAAGCATGCCTACCTATTTGCTGTCATGCTGCAGAAGATGCTAAGAAAATCGGATCTCATGATTGACCCTATAATTAGCGAGTTCCATTCGCTTTATTATCATTTTGCTATGCTAGATTTGATAGAATTGAGAAAAAAAAAGTACAAATATTATGTGTTGGGTGTAAACTTTTAAAACTAAGTGACTCCGTTTTAAATAAACAACTTTTCCTTGGTCAAAGTTGATTTTAAGGGTCTTATATTAAAGTTAAGTAATTACCTTACCATCAAACATATTAAAAAAAAGTAATATTTTTTACCTCTAAATAAGAAAAAAGGAAAATGTATCATATTCAAAAATATTTATAAATAAGAACAGTAAATTTGATTTGCTTTTAAGTTCAACAATCATAAGCCGCATTTAGCAGAAATACCAAAAATTGCTAACCTGGGTTGAGGTGGTGAGTTGATCGAGTCAGTGGTGGTAAGATTGAGAAAATTAGTATGATGTTACTATATATATATATTGTGCGGGAAAGAAGTTCGTGGAAATTGGGGACTGCTCAAACCTTGAAAACGAAGTCGATGTTTGTTTAAGCTGAAAAAGTTGATAAAAATTTAAACTAAAGTAAATAATTAATTCTAATCATATATTTCATGAAATCCACAACTTTTATCAACATTTTATTTACATATTTCATCAATATTTATCAAAATTTACTAAATTTTTTATTTTTAACACAACCAAACATGGGCGAAATATATGAGCTCTGCCCATTGTCGTATCATGTTCTCACTCTCCAGCATCATTTTCGTAATAGAGATTTCATGGTGCATTTCTCTTGGATTATGATATATTAATCATATATAAAATCTAATTTATATTTGTTATACTTTTAAAGTCTAATATTTTTCATTGAATATTTCACATGAAATATTTATCATATACAGACTTGTTTCTTAACAACTTTATTATACTTGGCATTAGACCACTATTTATGCATGTATTTCCAACCTGGACTCTCAAATCTTTTGCTTCTCGGGTGGTGGTGAACAATGGAATAAAAAATTTAACCTAAAGGCTTAATATAATAGGAGGGAGGGGGGGTCAAAAGAAAGTAAGGATTCTCGTATCTTTTATTAGTAGCCTTTGATGCAGGATGAAAATGTGAATGGTAATTGTTCGACAAATTCTCACAAGCGTACGGGTTCGTTGTACAAGTAATAATTGTGATGAGAGAGTTGTCATCCCACAGGGAATAATGATTAATTCTAGTATATTTGATATATTTAAATTCGTGTTTATAACTGAAAGACAATCGAAGGAATAACTAAATAATTTTTATAACTAACACTTGTGAAAACAATGAAGGTTGGTTTAAAAATCAAATGTTCGAACGTATTGGATTCCTAACACACTGATCAATTCTTAATTCTAATTCTCAACCAGCTGATAATTATCTCAATTCATGCAATTGCAACAATCGATAATTCCATTATTATTTATTATTCTTTCCCAAGATATAATAAACCTATGATTACCACGAGACGATCCTATTCCTAGTCCATATTCATATGGCAAACATGCATTGATATTTAGGATTATCACATATGATCGCACACGCCACAAATATTATTCCTAACATTTATTGTCCTTGCGTCCCAATAATAGTGTTCTACCTATCGTGAGTTTTCCAACACAACGAATAAGCAACTTATTGTCCTAATGGTGCGCAAACATTAAAACAATGTAAATAGGCATATTATTGAAATCACAACACAAGAATTAAAATAAAAACACTTGTCTCCAATTAAAATTAAGAATTAAACAATTTTGTCATCCATCCAATACAAGAGAAAAATTAGCCTAGCATACTGTTGAAATTAAAAAAAGAAAAGTGGAAGGAAATCACCGAAAATCGACTGGAAGTGATTAAATTGTAAAGGCCGAGCGTGCATTTATTTTGTTCCAATTTGTGCCTTTGCCGTGTGTAATTTCACCCTTGCAATCACCAACTTTGTACCTAGATTAAATAATTCAACCACCCAATGTGTATATCCATTCAATTCCAGCAATTCAATTTTATTTTATTTTTCTATCTTCTCCAATAAATAATTGGTAGCCACAATTCCTTTTCAATTTCTCCACTTTCTTTTCCACTCAAGCTGCCCAATTATATGTGTGAATCCCTCAACAATTTCCCAAGCAGCTGCCTTTTATACTCCAACCGTAGCCGATGTCTTCCATTCCAATTTTCTGCTTAGTTGGTGTGTGGAATCTATAATGGCAGCTGCAATTTCTTCTTAATTTCTCCAGCAGCAGCCCTTTTTTGTCTTCTCCCCGGCTCCCTCTTTTTTACTCTCTCGTCTCTCCACTGTTGTGTGTATATATATATATACATCCTTTTCTATGAACCACAGCAGCACTTCCTTTGTATCCAATTAAAGGTCCAATTAGTGGTGCAAATAGGTACCAATTCAAGCTCCAACCTAGGCCCAATTCCTTGTGTAAAATAGGATGGGAAAATTACATGGAAACAGGTCTTTAAAAAATACAATTCATAAATCAAGTATGAAATTTATTTGTGCAAATATCAGGTATTCATCTAATTATTAAACCACTCACCCCCAACTGCCCCACCCCAAACCCTAATTATTTCTTTTCGCCATTCTCTCTTCACTGTCGGAGACGATGCAATATCAGAGATGATGTCGTGCCAGTGACGACTACAATGCGACACCAGCATTGGACAATAGTCTTTGTTCCTTCAACGGCATCACTGGAAGACGTCACCAAGAGGCTGAGATACGGCTACACACTCTGTCGTTCACAGTGGCGTCGAATGTCAGTGCTCAGGTTGTTATGAACTCATGAGAGTGTTGCGTGGTATGCTGTAGAAAATTTGGGGGAAGGGTTTGGGGACTTTTGATCGCCGAAAGCAATTTTGGGGGTGATTTCATTCTCCTTTCGATCTAATGTGGTTAGTGGAGTGGAGAAATTTGGTGTGATTTTGATGTTCTGGTGTAGGTGGATCTATGAGGCTCTATTGATTTTTGTTGGATTAAATCGATTAGTTTTTGTTTGTTTTTGGGATAGTTGTTGTTGACAGTGGTAGTGGCAGATGGTAATGGTGGTGGTCGTCGTTTTTATTGTTGTTGTTGGCGGTGGTTGTGGTGTGGCGTGGCGGGGCAGATCTACGGGTGGCGATGGTTGTGTAGTGTGTGGTCGTGTGGTACAGGTAATCGTGGTGTTGTACTGGATCGATTTGCATTTTGGGGGGTTGTGGTTGTTGTGGTATTGTGGTGGGGCAAACCTGGGAAGGACGGCGATGGTGGTGAGGTAGCAATGGTGCTTGTGTTGGCACTTGGCACTGATGATTTGGGTGGTGTTGGTGAGGTTGGAAGGTGGTATATTGTTGGGTGGGTTTGGTGGTTGTTCTGGTTGTGGTTGTTTCTGACGGTGGAGATGTTATAGGTTGGGTACTGTTGGTGTGTTTGGTGGTGGTGATCGTGGTGGTTTCTGGCAGCGGTAGAGGTTGTTTTTGGTGGTTAAAGAGCTGATGGAGTCGATTGTCGTGGTTTTTGTTGGCAAGTGATTGGATCTTGTGGTGATCGTGGTGGTGTTGTGACGGGGTGGAGTGTAATAGTGATTGTGACCAATTATTTGGTTACTCTGTGACCATGTATTGGTGGTGGATTGGGACTGAGAATGGAGTGTTTGGTATATGTGACCCACAATTTGGTCTGCGACCTTAAAATTTGATAATCTGTGACAAAAAAGTAATCTATGACCTTAACGATTTGGTCCGTGACATTAAAATTTGATAATCTGTGACCTATAAAATTTTTGATTTGTGACCTCGAAATAATTTGTGACCTACAAAATTTTTGATTTGTGACCTCAAAATAATCTGTTACCAATTAATTTGATAATATGTGACTTATAATTATGAATTTGTGACCATTAATCGTGTAAATATGACTTTTTATCTTTATTTAATAAATATTTTTAATTAATTAAATATATACCTGAATTTTGAAATTTTAAATTATCTACTTGATTTTTGAATTGGTGTAAACAATATACCTTAAATTTGAATTTTTCCTAAATAGGATTCCAATTGGCTAATGAATTTGAATCCAATTTTAAGTTCAAAACATAGGCCCATTTAATTTATTATTTTCTTCATGACCTCCACTTTCAAAGTATAAAATTTGATCTCCAAACTTTACATCAAATAGGCAATTAATCCTTCATCATTTCCAATTTCTTCAAACAATCCATCATTAAAAACACAAAGAAAATTACCCTAAGTTAAATAGAAATTAATAATTTGACGATGTAAAAGTTTAATAATGTGATATAAATAAATACACAACTTGCACTTATCAGTAATAATATGTTCTTGTTCGTAACACACGAACATGTGTTATTCAAATTTCACTCACTTTTTTTTCACTCACTTTATTATCACTTTGCTATGCTAGATTTGATAGAATTGAGGGGAAAAAGTTCAAATATTATGTGTTGGGTGCAAACTCTAAAAACTAACTGAATCTGTTTTGAATCAAAGTAAATAATTAATTTTAATCATATATTTAATGAGATTCATAATTTTTATCAACTTTTCATTCACATATTTCATCAAATTTTTTTATTTTTTATTTTTATCAAAAACTACTAAATTTTTTTATTTTTAACACAACCAAACATGGGCGAAATATTTGACCTCTACCAATTGTCATAACATGCTCTTGCTCTCCAGCATCATATTCCCAACAGAGATTTCATGGTGCATTTCTCTTCGATTATGATATATTAATCATAAAATCAAATTAATATTTGTTATATTTTTAAAAGTCTAACATTGTTCATTCGATATTTCATAGGGCTGGACAAAACTCATGAACTAAACCGATCGAGAGGAGCTGAGCGATTCTTTTTAAGCTAAATACTCGAACGGGTATCTGAATTGAGAACCGACGGGTTTGGTTTGGTTCGATTCTCGATTCTAGATCAAAAACCAAATAACCGAATAAGAATCGAATCTCTCTAATTTTTTTATTAATTAATTTTAAATAAATCAAATTATTTTATTGCTCTAAATAAATTTGCTAACTAGTTAATTTAGCTCAAACCCAAAAATATGATTTCTTATTTGTAATTTTCAGTTCAAAGCCAACTTAATCAGATTGACCAAAATCTTATCCAAATATTAACTCTACCATAGTGCCGTTTCT